AAATAATTGAAGGTTATTTTAATCAAATTAGGCAATCCCAATCAAGTATTATAGAGTCCCAATAAAAAAATAATTAAAGGTTATTTTAATCAAATTAGACAGTCCCAATTAAGCATTATAGAGTCCCAATAAAAAATAGGAAGGTTATTACAATCAAATTAGGCAATCCATATAAGTATTATAAAGTCCAATAAAAAATAGTTAGTTGAAGGTTATTATTACAATCAAATTAGGTAGTCCCGATAATTAAGTATTATAGAGTCCAATAGTTGTTTGAGATGGTCTAATTATACTTTTTGTTATATATTATGTATACACATGTTTTGGCTAAGCAATACATAAATTAGAAATTTGATAATAAACCTGGTGCATGATAACTATTGTGCACCCAACCATCTAGTATATCATTTGAAATGTGATAATATCATACGAAATGTGATTATATCATTTGAAATGTGATTATATTATCTGGAAACTGATTATGTAAATGTATCATTCTAAAAGTGAATTTATCATTAAAAAAAATATCAAACAATAATTATATCATCTGAGTAAATTGTTTAATATACGACTATATCATTCAAAATATGACTAAAAAAAGATAATTATATCATCTAAAAAAATGATTATAACATGCAAAATATGACTTTATTATTTGAGAGTGCTAAATATTAGGTCTACAATAATTATTGTAGACCGGGTCCATACAAGACCTGTTGTACATATTTTAAAAGCATACATGATTAACAGATAAGTCCTTGATTAGCTGCGATGACCAACTTGGATGTCTAAACAAGAATCTAATTATTATAATATGAGCGAAAATTCTACAGTAAATGACACGTACCGCTATGTACCACTAAAGCAACTTACCGCAATGTACCACTATTAAAGTTAATTAAGTAATTTATTTATTTTTTACATTTCTTAAGCATAGTTTGACTTTAGCTAAGATGGTGAATTGCATTATTTCTATGATTAGTTGTTTAAGGATCAAATCATTGTGCTTTAGTATTTTTTTTTTTCTCATTCTCATATTTTTAATTTTTTTTGATTTATTTAACATCATACAACTTATTTAGATTACCTTTTTTTTTTTAAATCAATTGTATTTAGATTACTCATTGGACTACTTTATATATAAAAATACTTATTTATTAGATCTATTTTTTTTACCCTCTAGGCTACCTTCAAAAAGAAATATCAATTACTTATTTGATTTATTTTACATCATACAACCAATTTATATTACTCATAAGACTACTTATATATATATATATATATATATATATATATATATATATATATATATATATATATATATATATATATATATCAATTTTGAATCCTTCTCAATATATTTTTTAATGCCCACATTTTATTAATTTTTACTTCTCAATTATTTTTAATTTTGTTTTTTTTTTCTTTAGATTATCTAGAATGGAGAAAAATCAAATAACATATGTTTGATTTATTTTACATTGGTTAAGATCCGCTAAAATCGTTTCTTTATTAGCACTCTTAACACAGTTTAGTATTTTTATAAATGGCTTTTTACTTTAGAGGCGACTATGATAAACAAGATATAACTCATATCAGTCACATTATAATTAGAAGGAATGCGTAATACTCGTATATCCTATTTTTATTGGCGCATCCAATTAACACACAATGTTATAATTCTAGCCTATGTAGGGATTGAACCTACATTTATGTGCAAGGCACATTTCTCTCCATTTGAGCTAATAGGCTTTTACAATCAAATAAATCATTCATAATAAAAACAAATAATTCAACTTTTACATGAACAATTCAATGTATACTACACATCTACACTGAATCTCCACACGGTTACTCAGATAGACCTTAAGCTTACTAAGGTACAAACCATATTGGGGAGATTTTGTCAAGAATGATGTAGAAATAAGATAATGTAGTATAAGGAAGGTAAAATTAAATTCCAAATTAAAGCTTTTGATATGAGTTTTACCTTTGATACCTATACTTGTATGTTGAAGCTTAAGAATTTTTATGATGATGAGTGAAAGCAAACTTCAACTAATGGTTTTCTCTAAGGATTTAATTAGAATAGGTGAAGTTGACTTTGGAAGTGGAAGAGTAGCCTACTTATGAAGATCCAAGTATAATTAAAGGAAAGATAAAGAGACTAGAAGAAGAGTTCCTCATTGGAACTAGAAGTGATCCCTATCAGGAACACGAAGAAGAGGTTCCTTAACAAGAGCTTGACAGCAAGCTAAGGACTAGCTGGACTACGTTGAAGACAACAAGTTCTATTGGAACTTGGTCTGCGAAGTTCCAGCAAGGAGCTGAAGAGTTGAAAACAGTAGGAACTCAGTCTTGGTCTGCGTAGAGCCCAAGTATCCATACAATGCAACGATTGAGGAGACAATTCAGCAATAGACTTAAAGTCTTATTATGAAGTTTTTTGTTAAGTTTATTTTTACTAGGATAGTTGTAAATATGTTTGGTTAGTTTATGCATGAAATCTATTAGAAGCATGGAAAATCTTGGCAAGCTTTTAAATATGGAAAGTTTTATAAAAGATAAGTTTTAATTTTAAGAAAAGATCTTTGAGTGATTTTATCTTATAAAATATGGTTTTACAAAATAATAATCTTTTCTAAAATTATATCTTTGTTAAGTTTTCCAAAATATTTTCTTGAGAAGATTTATTTTATAGTTGTATTTATAAATCGCCAGTTTTACAATTTCTATCTTTTGAAAACCCTACTTTACATAAGAGTTTTTCTTGTATATAAAGGAGAAATCATATTTGCACAACTTGTGAGTTTACGAGTGAAAAATCTGAAGAGTGTTTAAAGAGTAAGTTTACCAAGTCTAGCTTTGTCATATTAGTTTCGGATTTCATGTGTAGCTTTCGAGTCGCATATTAGAGTCAAGTGTTTGTATTTTTTTGGTATTGGGTGAGTGTTTAGCATATTAATATTGCATACAGTTTGTAGGCTTCAAGGTTGAAGTTGAGTTGTGAGTACTCCGGGAGTGCTGAGTGAATCTAAGTCTTGGACTTAGGTTGAGTAGAATAGGGTTCTACTGCGTAGCAAGTTCAGTCTGAAACTTGTGAGAAAGATCTGATAGTAATAGGTTGTAACTAGGAGTGTTTGGCCTATTATAGTGGATTGGTTTGGTGTTTGAAATCCCTTGGAGGGTCAAGGTTCTACTTTCAGTTAGGCCCTAGAAGGCTTCCTCGTAAAATTCTGTGTGCATTGCAAGTTCCTTTAATATCTGTTTTATAATTCCGCAAAAGCAGTCGCTAGGAACTCACTACAATTCACCCCCCTTGTAGAAGTTCGTCTCAACTAACATTGCATAACTATTTTCCTAAAAAAGGAGATAAAAATCACCCCAAAAGTATTACGAAACTATTCTGGCGAGTAGATTAATTTTTTTTTATGATTTGTAAGTCGCAAAAATCACAATTAATAAGATTAATGGATAAATAACCTCTCACAATGATAACAAAATACAATTTCAATTATCTAAGTTTCTAAACATCGATTTCTATATTGTTTGGATCAACAACTTTAATTGTTTGGTCTCAATTTTTCATTAATCCAAAAATAACTTAATGAACTTTGTTTCTATTATAATACATTAAGAACAAATAAAAATCAAAGCAGGTAATTGATTGAATCATAATTGGAAACACAAATTAGGGTTTCTGTCTTTCTGATCAACGACGGGTGATATTAATACTGAGGTAAACATATAAATTACCTCAATTGAACCTTCAAGCTAAGGTTGTCGAGTGATTGTTCCTTTAAATTACAACTTCGAGCGTCAAACTTGAAAAAAAAATATGGAGAAAAAAAGAATGAGAGAGAAAGAGATGGGGAGGACTGGAGGAGAGAGAAGAATCAGTGTAAAAAAAATCATTAAAGAGTTTTTTTTTTTTAAAACATATATATATATGCTTTTACAATACATAGCAATACATGACTTTTACAGTACATATCAATACACGTCATGTACTGTAAACCTTCCCATGTAAGATATATTTTTTGTCTATGCTCAGACTAGAAGTTAATATTATTCTTGGCTGTCTCAAAAAGCCAAGATAAATTGGCTTTAAGTAGGTGATGATAACACTAAATTTTTTCATAGGAGCATAAAGATGAGATGATACAGGAAGAGAGTGATTGCTGTGAAAAATATTGGAGGGGTTTGTTGCGATAATCCAAAATCTGTAAGTGATGCTTTCATAGAGTATTATAAAGGGTTACTTGGTGATGATACTAGGGAAAGAATTAAGATATGTAATCAAGTAGTGCAAGATGGGTATGTGTTAAGTGATCAGTAGGCTCAGATGTTAATTAAACCTTTTGCTAGACAGGATGTTAGAAAGGCTATCTTTTCTATTCCTGGGTCTAAGGTGATGGATTTAACAACACCTTTTTTAAGGCTTCGTGGAACACTATTGATGAGCAAGTAATTGATGTTCTCCAATTCTTTGACACTGGTCAGATGCTTAAAGAGTTGAACTGCACCATCCTTACTTTAATCCCTAAGGTGGAGCAACCTGAATCAGTTACCGAATTCAGGCCCATTGCTCGTTGCAATGTGTTGTACAAGTGTATCACAAAAATGATTTGCAGAAGATTGAAGTTGGTTCTGCCTGGCATAGTTGCTCAGAATCAAACAGGATTTGTTGAAGGGAGGCAAATAATACAAAACATCAGTATTATTCAAGATATTGTGGCTAGATATGGTAGGAAAAACTCACCTAGTGGTTGCTTACTAAAGATAGATATCAGAAAAGCTTATGATTCAGTAAAATGGGATTTTATGGAGGAGATGATGACAACTCTTGACTTCCCTAAGAAGTTTATTGACTTAGTCATGATATGTGTGAGAACTCCCTCATTCTCTTTAGCTATTAATGGCAAGGCTGAAGGTTTTTTTCAAGGGAAGAGAGGATTAAGGCAAGGTGACCCATGTCACCTCTGCTATTTGTAATCTGCATGGAGTATCTGCGAAGGCTCCTGAGAAAGGTGGCTGAAGATTCTCAGTTCAGATTTCATTCTAGATGTCAGACACTGAAATTAAATTATCTAGTATTTACAGATGATTTAATCATGTTCAACAATGGGGATTTCAATTCTGTACAGCTTTTGTTAAGGACTCTTGCTACTTTTGCAGCTACCTCTGGATTAGTAGCTAATGAAGGCAAGTCCAACATGTACTGCTGTAATATTGGGAAGGAAAAGAAGGAAAGAATGCTTCAGAATTATGGTTTTTGTGAAGGAAAACTTCCTTTCAGATATCTTGGGGTGAATGTTAGTTCCAAGAAACTTTTTAGAGATGACTTCAAGTGCTTGATTGATAAGATTACTACAAGGATTAGAAGCTGGGGTTGCAGATCTCTGTCTTATGCTGGGAGAACCCAACTTGTGAATTATGTTCTTATGTCTCTGCACATTTATTGGGCTAACATCTTCATCATTCCTAAGGTGGTGTTAGATGGTGTTTCTGCTATTTGCATAAATTATCTTTGGGAAGGGAGAGCTGTTTATACAAGAGCTCCACCCATAGCCTTGGATATTGTGTGCAGATGTAAAAATCAAGGTGGGTTGGGTGTGCAAAATTGTCATACTTGTAATATTGCAGCTATTGGAAAGCAAATCTAGAACATTGCTCAGAGAAAAGATAACTTATGGCTGAGATGGGTTAATGAGATGTATTTAAAGAACAAGACTTGGAAGAGGTTCCAGTATGCTCAAAATACCAGGTTGGAACTGGAAGCAGCTATGGTGGGTGAAACATAAAATGAAAGCAAGCTATTTTGGTGATACTTGGAGTGGAAATCCTAAAGGCTACACTATAGCAAGTGGTTACAACTGGTTGAACACTCAACATGCTAAGGTTGAGTGGAATGATTGGGTTTGGAACAAATTGAACATTTCCAAGCATAAATTTGTATGATGGATGATCATGTGGAGAAGGATTAGAGTTAAGGCTCATCTTTCTAAAATAGGAAATCTTACCGACTCCTCTTACCCTCTATGTGATAATGGTGAGGAAACTATAGATCACCTGTTCTTTGGCTGTGATTACAGTAGGAAATGTGTTGATATTCTACAGAAGAAGCTGAAAATGAAGATGGAGCCTAAGAGTATTGAAGATTGCAATAGTAAAATGAGACTCATCAAGGGAAGGTTTCAGAGACAAGTAGTTTATAGTTGTTTTGCTGGTCTGCTATATGTGATCTGGAAACAAAGAAACAAAGCCATATGGGACAAATGTCTTATGCAACCAGAGAAGGTGATCCAGGATCTATGGTTTGAGCTATTTCATAGAATTTCTTTTGCTATGCCGAGCAAGACTAGCAGAAGGAAGTAGGAGTGGTTTAAAGATTTGTTCAGCTGCTAGATATATAGTTGTTTGCTTTGTTATGTCTGTTTTGTTTGTCTTATGGTCTTAGGGCTTGACTTGCCCTTTGTTTTATGAATATTTTTTTGATGATTAATAAAAAAATTTACCCTTTTTTTTAAAAAAAAAGATATATTTTTGTCAACCATAGAGTGACGATTATCATCTGGCTACATATATATGTATATATGAATGAGTTTTATTCTCCAGTTTGTATTAATTGTTGGCGAATTAATCTTACTCCCTCTATTTTAAAAAAAAAAAATTAATTTACATCACCTTAGATGCGAAGTATTTTAGAAGAACTTATCTGGTATTATTATAGTGTGCAAGTGGGGAAAATGTGTCACTATTGGTAATAAACTAATAAGAATATTTGAACATTAAAGCATATCCACCAATGTATTTAACAATTAATTTAATTTAACAAGGTGTCATTGTTGGAAAATGACAAACATGCAATTAAGATCAAATCCCTCTCGATTTCATCATACCCTAACAAGGTAGGGATACCCACCCATGATATAGGGCCACAAGATAAAAAAAAAAGCTTCCTTTTTAACACTTTCGATGACCTAAAAAGAAGTAGATGCACATAAATGGATTAACCATTACAACTAATTGTTGCGAAACAGATAACAAATATGTAAATCATCACTTGACATTACACTTTTTTACTTATTTTTATGAAATTATTGGTTAACATGTCTAAATAAAATTTAGGTTTGTTAAGGCCCTATTATCTTCACCTTATTTTTACTAAACTTAAATTTCTTTTACTAAATGATTTTTTTTTATTTTATTATTTTAATCTTCACCTTATTTTTACTGAACTTAACTGATTCTTTATCATATTTCAAAATAACTCCAAACACATGTATTTATATATGTATATAATACATACGAAATTAGTTTAAAAAATAATAAATATGTATATCAATATTTTAAAATACAAATATGTATAAGTACATATTTTTTTTAAATTATTTTGACAAATTATTTTACAAAAGATAATTAAGGATAGATTTTAGTGGAAAAATATCACCACGATTCTAAGAAAACTAACCACGTACTTTTTAACTTTTTTTTTTGTTTTGAATTTTGTTTTTTTGATGATAAATAACAATATTTTCGTTTATTTTATGCCAAATAATTAATTTTATCCTTATTTGAGATAATTAACGATAGGTTTTGTTAAAGAAATCACCATGATTCAAGGAAACTACTACATACGTTATATTCGTCCAAAAAACAAGGTGTTAATACGTTTCAAATTTTATTTTTAAGAAAAAAAACAAATAATTGCAATTTCGTTTTCTTATTAACCAAAGTCAATTAATTTTTTTTATATGAATGAAGGAGTTATTTAATTATGGTTTTGAAAGAAATTGGGTACGTTACCTCCACCAATGATGTTCATGGCGACGAAGATGGTGATTGTTAGGCAAATCATGCCCTCCAAAAAAATTAAAACCCAAAATATAATTAAATATGTTACCTTAAATTTATTTATTAAGTGTTACTAATTATGAGCAATTAGTCACTTTTTTGGACTTAACCTACATATTGTAAAAAAAACATACTGGGACCAGGGTTGAGTTTTTGTTTATTATTCTTAAATTTATTCTTGCATTCGTGAGTTTAGTGATTTTCTCGTTGGTTATTCACTTTCAAAGTAAACAAAATAATTTCCTAATGTTTTATGTATTTAAAAGATTCCTCCCTTATATTAATTACTATATGTCTTATGATTATACATACATTTATTAACATAATTAAACTCCCTTAGCGCAAATAATACCCCCAAAAAAGAATAACGCAAATCAGTTTTATTTAATTTTATTTTTATTTTAATTAATTTTCAACATAAATTCATGCTCAAGTTTCGACATTCAACAATGGCTTCTTAAAAAAATCATTCAACAATGGCGGATGATTACTCACGAATTCATATGACTAATCTAAATTAAACTAAAAATCATTTCAATCCTAACAATTGATCCCAAAAGATATAATCTGTAATTTTTCAATCGAATTTTTTATACACATAGTTAAATTGATACAAACTCTGAAATAAAAAAAATTAATAAATGTGATGATTAAACATTAATATTATTGATTCCATATGTAATTTGGTAATTTTTGGATAAATAATGAAGCTTGGAGGTTGAATTTGGAGTGTCCCATTAAAATAGGTCAAAATTTAAGTGCGCCATTGAAGATGGATGAAGCTATCCAAATGGGGATGAAGCTTTTAAAATGGGGATGAAGATGTAATATATTTTTTTTTAATTTATTTTGGACGACTTACTTTAATTTTTAATGTTGAATGGTTGTTTATAAATTATAATATTATAACTTGGGAAAACAAATTTACCCTCTAAAACTAATGAACCAAATAACACTTTGCTGACTGGTCGCTGACTTGTCAGAACTTAAATGATGTGTAACTTAGATTTTTTAATTTTTTTAATAATGTAATATTGAAAGGCTAAGATTAAGCAATAAACGATATCAAGGATTTAAATTTTGTCTCTTATTGTAGTCTACCATAGTCGTTCGTAGTCGTCGACTATGCTAGAACTAGGGGTGTTCACCGGTCCAAAACCGGACCGGACCTGGACCGGACCTGTTGAGACCGGGACCTGAATTAAGGGATTTTGAGGACCAGAGACCGGACCTGATTCAACAGGTCCGGTTCTGGGTCAAACCTGAAAAATTAGGTTCGGTCCGAGTTTGGACCTAAATAGACCTGTTTTGTTATTTTTTCATTTTTTTTATAAATAACCTGTTGGACCTGCATATGGACCTGTATCTGGACCTGTTTTGTGATTTTTAGACTTGTTGCATAATTTAATAATTACATACAATCCCAAATTATTAATCACAATTTTTTTTTTTTGATTTTTAGACCTGTTGTATAGACCTGTATATGGACTTGAATAGACCTGTTTAGATTTTTTTAAAAAAAACATAAAAAAATTACAATTTTACTGGGTATTGTCCGGACCTGAAAACCCCTTGGACCTGATCCGGACCGGAACCGAAAACCTTGAATTTCAAGGATCGGGACCGGACCTGAATCTACAGGTCCGGATCAGGTCCGGTCCCAACAGGTCCAGTTCAGATTAGTTTTCAGGTCCGGTCCTATTTATACACACCCTTAGCTAGAACTATCATGGAATAGAGCAATACCAAACGTTTAGATAACGTTAACTACGTTTGAAACCAAACTGCTCAACCGCTACATGTAGACACCTTGATCCATATTTTCAAGTAATCTATAGTATTGACAATATTTCAACAATAAAAACTAATAGTAATATTTTATATTATTCAGGAGACTTGCGAAGTACTTCCTTTGTTCTTTTTTACTTGACCCATTTTTAGGGGTGACAATGTCATCCAAACTCGATGGATAACCATCCACCCGATCCAAATAAATGGATGAAAACCTGAACTTAAGCGAATGACGAATGGATGATGGATGGGTCGGGTGACGGATCGGGTCGGATTCGGATGATGATACATCCAACCCATCACCCGACCCGTCCATCGACCCGTTAAATTTATATATAAAAAAGTAAAAATAAATATTTTTTTTTAATAATTTAATGTCTATTGTAATATTAGGAATTGTCATTTGTTTTTAATTTAGTAAAAAGAAGTATTAGAAGGATGTATCAAAGTTTTAATAAATTGATCACTATTTTTTTCAAATCTTGATTTTAATTATGAAAGTGCTAAGTTGTATTTATATATTTATTTCACCCGAATTATCACCCGATCCACCTTATTCATCCATGAATGACGGATGGATCGGAAGTGGATGAAGGAAAAGTAGGTGATTGATGGGTCGGGTGATGGATGGATCGTTGGTGGATGGAGGCAGATGGAGCATCACCCGACCCACCTCTGATCCATTGCCATCTCTACACTTTGACTTTTACACTATTCATCATCCCTCCTTTGACTGTTTTTTTGTGAATAATATGTAAGGAAAAACATATTCATGTTGGATATTTTTGAATTCGTCTCAATAAGTACTATTGTAAAATATAAATTTTATAAATTTTACTTATGAAGAATAAAAGATATTAATCGTTAAAGTTTTGCATTGGCAAGCGTGATAAAATAAACAGGTCAATTAAAAAAGAACGGAGGATATAATAATTAGTGACTTCCATAAGTATGTTACAAAAAATAATGACCACATCTATAACTATTATATGTCACTTTCTTATTAGTTCAACAGTGTCACCAATTTATAATTCGTGTTGTGTTATATTTTAATTATCGTTTGGGAGGTGTCATTTTATTATATATGATATATGTATAAATTACATAAGAACACCAATCTGGACATATAAGTATTATAAAATATGCTGAAGTTTAAAGTGTTATTAAATATAACTAACTAACTTATTGACAATGGAACTAAAACTAATAACCAAAACTAATTAATAATAATACACTAATTACTCTTACCTCTCAATTCCTCACGTCACGTCACTCACTACACACACACATTCGAGAAGTTTGGAGTGCAATTTGCGCCCCCCCCCCCCCCCAAACCATGTTGGTAAATAAAGACAAAACCAACACTCCTAAACTAGGTGAAGTAAATTCCGGGATTCCCATATGCTCAGTCATGACTCCATATGAAAATAGTCAACACTGCTTACCATTAAGGTAAACAGGGTGAACCAAAACAAATAGGAAATACGAATTAGCAAAATATGCTAAGTACGATAAGTGCAAAATAATATAAACTCAATTTATTTGCAAACATGCTTTTAAAATCACTTTCAATAATTCCAAACTCATAATTCAAAACGAGAAAAGAGTGAAGGATAAATCAAGTGATTAGAGTTTTCTTCCCGATTTTAGAGATATGGGATCGGTTCTCCTATAGTAGGTGGATATTTTCAAAAATCCTAAAAAGCTTCTCTTTAGTGAAACCCTTCCTCCCTTCAACTCTTCTCTCCCGTTTCCTTCCCCTTTTCGCTAAACCCCCCAAAACCCTTCTTCTCTCTCCCTCTTGAAGCCGCAGCAAACCCTCAACAATGGCGGAACTCAAACTCTCAGAAAGCAAAGACCTTACGAGAATCGAACGCATTGGAGCCCACTCCCACATCCGAGGCTTAGGCCTAGACTCTACCCTCGAACCCCGCGTCACTTCCGAAGGTCTAGTCGGCCAACTCCCGGCCCGCAAAGCCGCCGGCGTCATCCTCCAAATGATCAAAGACGGCAAAATCGCCGGCCGCGGAGTCCTCATCGCCGGCCAACCCGGCACCGGAAAGACCGCAATTGCAATGGGTCTCGCAAAATCACTCGGTCACGAAACCCCATTTGCTATGCTATCTGGGTCTGAAATCTTCTCCCTTGAGATGTCGAAGACGGAAGCGCTGATGCAAGCGTTCCGCCGTGCTATTGGAGTGAGAATCAAGGAAGAGGCTGAGGTGATTGAGGGTGAGGTTGTTGAGATTCAGGTGGACCGCCCTGCGGTTGCTGGGGCGGCATCGAAGACGGGGAAATTGACGTTGAAGACGACGGATATGGAGACGGTTTATGATTTGGGGACTAAGATGATTGAGGCGCTTAGTAAGGAGAAGGTTCAAAGTGGGGATGTGATTGCTATTGATAAAGCTTCTGGGAAGATCACTAAGCTTGGGAGATCGTTTTCGAGGTCGAGGGATTACGATGCTATGGGACCTCATACTAAGTTTGTGCAGTGCCCTGATGGGGAGTTGCAGAAGAGGAAGGAGGTTGTGCATTGTGTTACTCTTCATGAGATTGATGTTATTAACAGCAGGTACTTTCTTTCTTTGTTAAAATTTGTTTAATTATTCATTTTGTAGCTATTTTATTAGTAATTTTTGGTGTCTATGATGTCGTCCTCGAGTGTAGATTGCTGCTTGTTGGTTAATAATTAATATCCCTATGTTATATATGCCTGCAAGAGACAATGTGGTGCAATGACATTAGCATATATCGCGAATGTTTGTTGTTGATTGATTTGAATGACTCTTGGAGGGGAAGGGAGGGAAGGGGGAGTGATTGCTTCTTGCTTATCACTTACCATAATGTAAGTTTGGTTTAAAAAAACGTTTACAATGTAAATTAGATAGTTGAATTGCGAATTCGAATGTAGCTATGGAGTCAGCAAAGAGAGGGCTGAGATAGAGATTGTAAACTTACCTTACTCTACCACAACACAATTGATTATAATCAAATGCATCCTGCTTTATGATATTTGTCTTCTATAGGGGTCGTTTGGTTGGATCATTTGGAATGGGTTGGAATGGAGTTAGAATCCATTCCATCTAGCTTTTTGTTTGGTTGAGGTTTTTAGTAATGGAATCTCATACTTAAGAGATTCTAATTCCCCCCTATACCCATAGAATCTCATACCCACCCCTCCCCTTAAGATTCACAATTCATTCTATTAACGAAGGATAAAATCCATTCCAACACTAAAACCAAACAATTTTGGACTAGTATGAGTTTTAAAATCCATACCTCTCTAGTATGAGATTCCTACCAACCTATTTGGAAAGTGGTAGGAAAAGAAATTTAAGCTGCTCTGGTATGATTTCCTTTTGTTACTGATTACGACTCTCAAATTTACAACCTATCACAAGAGAGGGGAGAATAAATTGAAAATGCTTAGTATGAACAAAATTCTATTTATTGTTATGTTTTTCCATTGCTCAAAATTAAGAAAGTAGGAGATAAAATAACTTCTAAGCATCCAAAAAATTGAACATTTATATCCATTGGTAAAGTTAATTTATAAATATTTTTTCAAATTATAATAAATCAACTTCAAAAGTAGGTAGATTTTAAGAAATATTTTACCTTCTGATTAAGGTTTTGTAGCAGGTCTGTAAGTAAAGAATTGATGATAATGCCTATAATAAAATAAATTAGGAGATCATAATAAATGCTCGTATGCAATTTATGTATGGCTTTTGAGTAAGATAGGGCTATGATATGTTGCTAGTTTAATTAGGCATGTGATTAGTGTAAGCTTAGCAGTAGAATTTCCTTTTTATGTTGTGATTAGGCTCATGTCTTTGAAGAGAAGGCTGGGAAAGTAGGAATCGTAGGATCGGAATTTTTTTTAACTTGCTGGGAACAATTCTTGAGGTTATGTCCAATCTTTTTTACGGGATGACTATGTGGAAGCATTTGCAGAGAAAGTAGAATTTGTGGGACATGGTGTTTGGCCAATTAACCATATTGTTATAAAAATTAGCACCCTTGTATATTGGTATAAAAATTAGGGTCGGCGACATATTGGTATAAAAGTTAACAAGTGGCGACAAATTGTTATAAAAGTTAACCAAATGGTGACATATTGGTATAAAAGTTAACAAATAACGACATATTGGTATAAAAATTAGCGAATAACGACGTTTAACCCTTTTTCAAACTAGAATAATAAGCGTGTATTGTACACACGATCTATTCTTATTTTTGTAACTTTATTCTTTTTTTTTTTTTTTTTTTTTTTTTTTACTTTCTTTGCTTCAAATATTCATTGAATATCTTTTTGACACTATTAAAAGCCAAAATAAAACCAAAGAATAAAAAATAAGGGAATAGGGAGGAAATATGAGAATATAGAGGAATATTTAAGATTATACGTAGTAAGAATTAATAATTTAGAAAAATTACAAGATAAGCTTTGATTATATATATTCGGTAGGTATTTCATTGAGCTTTTATTTTTTTGCAATATATGCAATATTATACACATAAATTTGCTCCCAACTTCGTAAATATTACAATTAACATGTCAATTTCAACTTTTGAGACATTTAAACAATAAGAATTTATATTTCTTTTCCTTTTTTTTTTTTTTTTAAACTTGCATTTTTTTTTTCATTTGACGATAATCTTAGGTGCATGGGTTTTGAGGAGAGAATTATTTTTCATTAAATGAGTATTCACAAAAACAAAAAATATTCCAAAAATTAAAACTAAAATAATAATTAAGCACGTGCTCCGGCAAGAAAAATAGGGTTAAATGTCACATTCGTTAGTTTTTATACCAATTTGTCACTGTTTGTTAACTTTTATACCAATTTGTCTCCGGTGCTAAATTTTATACCAATACGTCACTAAGGTGCTAACTTTTATACCAATGTGGTCAATTAGCCCATGGTGTTTGCTTCATGAATTTTTGTAGTTTGGAGCATCTATAAAAGAAATGAGAAGCAGCAGGTGAATTAGGGGGAAGTAAAAAGGAGGGAGGAGGGGAGGGTGAAAGATTTTTTGTTTCATGATAACAAGATAATCAGTTGAAACACTTTTCTAAAACTCTTTTAACTGATTATCTTGTTATGTCCCTTTTCCTATATTGGAAGATTCCTTATGACGATTTATGTTAGCCGAGTCCAATCATTTTGGGACTAAGGCTTTGTTGTTGTTGATGACGATGATGATGATGATGATAAATATTCTAAGGTGGTGCTTGTGACCTGAAATTTGGATCTCGCATTTCTGAATATCTGGATAACACCAATGGTTAACCTATAATGTCTTAAATTTTGTTCTCAATTTACTAATTCTATGGGTGATCAACTCTATTAAAGTTGAAAAGTACACCATAGAACTTGTATAACCTTATTCTGAAGGTATTCAGACTTGTATACTACTAGTTGTTTGCTCATCTCTCTGTACGTGTTGCTCAGAACCCAGGGATTCCTAGCACTCTTCACTGGCGATACTGGTGAAATTCGTGCTGAAGTGAGGGAACAAATCGACACAAAGGTAGCTGAGTGGAGGGAAGAAGGGAAGGCTGAGATTGTCCCAGGGGTTCTGTTCATTGATGAGGTACACATGTTGGATGTTGAGTGCTTCTCTTTCTTAAATCGTGCCTTGGAGAACGAGATGGCACCAATATTAGTAGTTGCAACCAACAGAGGGCATACAAGGATCAGAGGGACCAATTACAGATCTCCACACGGCATGCCCATTGATTTGCTTGATCGGTTGCTTATAATTGCTACTCAACCCTACACAGAGGAGGAGATTAGCAAGATCTTGGAGATCAGATGTCAAGAAGAGGATGTAGAAATGACTGAAGAGGCAAAAGTTCTGTTGACAAAGATTGCTAGTGAAACATCACTCCGGTATGCTATCAACCTGATAAATTCCTCTGCGTTGGCTTGTCAAAGACGGAAGGCAAAGTCAGTGGAAATGGAGGATGTGAGCAGGGTTTATCAGCTATTTCTGGATGTGAAGAGGTCAACACAGTACTTAATGGAGTATCAAAACCAATACATGTTCAATGCAGTACCTGGAGTAGAGGTGAATGAAGATGAGAATGCTGACATGATCGCTTGATATAAATATGTATTGTATTAAACTGTAAGCTCTTGAAATGAAAGTTTGGTGCTCATCACCGTTCTGGGTAATTTTGGATTATGATCATCCTAACTAGTGTGCATTTTTTTTTTTTCCTTTTTTCCTTTTCCTTCTTTTTTTCTTGCTTTGAAGCAATATTTCTGAGTTGCTGCAGTCAGAGGTAGAAAGCCAGTAGTTAAATGCTTAATTACATTAATGGTGCAACGGAACCTAATTTCAAGCAGTAGATGGCGGATGAACCCGGAATTATATCAGCATCATGTTATCTATGAGGTATTGGTCTTATTCTCTCCTCTCATCTACCCCAGTAAAAGTAACACATTTCAAAACTCTCTCAGGTTTGTGAATGTGCCTTCATCTTCATTTCATGCGTAAAAAAAATTCACCTAATAAAAGTTCAGAAGAGAGCCTTTACTAAAACTATAGAATCAACTGTATCGTCCATATCCTACAAAAGAGCGCATTTAATCCAGGAATGACAATAAGCTCTGATCTGAAGGATTAATCTCATTGGCCACAAAGCCTAGCAATTTGGTTATACTAGTCTTCCAAATCTCTTAATCAAACAAGAAAGAAATCTGACTAGTAACAATTTGCAAAACAGAAATATGAGAAGTTGAGAAAGGGAAATGTTTTAAACTCGCTCTTCACCCTAATCTGCTTGGTCATATTTTCGTATCCAGCTGCAGCTACCGCCTCGGTCCTTCACTGCACCACCCTCTCCTCCCCTGCTCGTACACAATTTAGCACACACAAACAGCAGCACATGCCTTGGCAAAACAGGAAGGCGGCTAATAAATTTATATAGCTGGGGGACCAGCTAGGCTATATGATCAAGGGGCTGAATACTGATAGTCTCAGACAGTGACGTTGTGACGAGTCATATGGTTAAAGCAGGCCGGATATCCCTGGTACAAAGGGGGGCACACTCGGATTCTAATGATGTTGCTGCTGATGTTATCATTGATTTTATCAACTCTCACTTTTACTTTTGACTAACCATAACCAACCACTTCTGTTTTACCATGTTAATAAGAAAATTAAATGATTGGCCAAATTATACAATTATTTTTTGGAAATTTCTGCGTGTATGCAACTATGTGAGGGTTCAATATTACCCATTTCCACCGGTTTTGACAAATACAATGCTAATTTAACACTGCTAACTGCTAGGTAGCCATGATGTTTGAGTAAAATTAATTCAGGTTATATCAAGAAGTTAAGGATGACAAGTGGGTATATTATTGCGAAATTTGCAGCATATCGGCCTTAATTGGTATATTAAAATAACATTGAATTTATACTTATATATTAAAAAGTGTTCCTAATACAAAATATGTCACATGACACCCTTTACATGTGTTAGAAGTATGCCACATCATCCATTTACTATAAACATACAAGATATGTTACATGACACCCTTCACATGTACTAGTATTAGAAGTATGCCACATCACCGTAATATGTCACATCATCCATTTCATCCATTTTACTATGTATAAACATGTTTCAATGACATGACACCCTTCACATGTATTAGAAGTATGTCACATCACCGTAATATGCCACATCATTCATTTTCATCTATTTTATTATATAATGGCACCCTTCACATGTACTAGTATTAGAAGTATGCCACATCACCGTAATATGGCACATCATCCATTTCATCCATTTTACTATGTATAAACATGTTTCAATGGCAATAAAAATGTTTATCACAAGTTTTGAACATAAGACCAATAAAAATGTTTATCACAAGTTTTGAACATAAGACCAATAAGAAACAAATTAATGTTCTTACCAAATTTGCTATCGTTTAATTATGTTTTATATTCAATTATAATACAATAAATACTTTGTACAAAGCATTAATTTTTTTTTTTTTTGAATAGTAGCATCAATTTGAGAGCGTTTATTTAGTTTCGTTAGTTATTATTGTTCACTTAGTTTTTAAAATTATATAATTTATGATTTTATAACTCAAATAATAATATTTATTGATATTCAAAGTAAAACCCTGTGGATCGCTAGAGCCATACACTAGTTATACCTTTTAATATCACTCTCCACCTACCCTTGATCCCCTTACATTGAGCATACGCTGGATACCATTAAAATGAATTATGCCAACATGGTACAAGGAGGGTCATTTAACTCTTTGAAGAAAATTATTTAACTCTTTTAAGGAAATTGTATGATAAAAGGGTAATCAATTAACGTGTGGTACTAAAATAACTCATTTAGAAGAGAATTGAAATAGAAATGACTTTAAGGCTTTATTTATTTATTTATTTATTGGTATGACTGCCTTTGTTACTAAGAAAACCATTTTGAGTAAAAGGTCTAAAAGCTATTGTAATGATCCATTAAAAACTACTTGGAGATGAATAAGAACCAATACTCCATATGAGTATTACTCCCTCCGTTTCTTTTTAAAAGCTAGAGTTGGGAATTGTGCGAGTTTCAGGAGGTTTAATAAAATAAGATGTTAGTGGGGGTTGATGAGATGATAAAAATTTGTAAGAAAAGATAGTGGGTTACTATTTTATTGAAAAGTAAAGTGGTGTGAGAGTCAGTGGAGACCATTAGTGAGTAAAGTTATATTATTAAATTGTAAAGGTTTCTAAAAGAAGAAGCGTAACTTTTGAAAAAAAAGAAACGAAAATACAAGTGTAGCTTAAAAAAAACGGCAGGAGTATTTAAATAAATATATAATCTTTGACATGTCTACTATGGCACTATCCATATAACATACTTTAATGATACTTATTAAAGATATTTTTAGATTTGTCTCAATGTATATTTTAAAAATAAAACTCATTCTATTGTTTTTTACTTATTCATAATTAAATATATTAAAAAGCTCAACTTACTCCATATACAGGTGTCAATGGTCATACATGGAGAAAGTTTTACCACAAGAAGTATAAATAATATGAGGTACTTTAAGGGTAACGATTTTCCTTACCTCTTTCCTTAATTTTAAAGTGTTTAGCATGTTAAGTTGGCCGAATTAATATGTGAGAGACTCCAATCCGATAAGATAATTTATCTTACTAATCTAAACTAGGTTGTTTAAATCAGTTGAATCAATATCGAGTCGGATGATTTCGATTTTTTCGGATGAGATCATACAAGCTGGACTATGTAATTCAACTCTAACTCAACCCAAAGCCCCAAAACCGCAAAATTAAGCTAAACCCAACCATCCCACATCAAAACTCGGGTGACCACCTCTAAGTCTAATCCCGAGATCGATCTAAGTCAATTACTTGGGGATGGGTTGAACTTTACTAGATATCTAATCATTCATTTTACTTTTATTTCACCAAGTCTAAGAATTGGTGGTCAGCCCACCTGTAGTAGTTAGCCGTCATATTTCAGGCACCAAAAGTCAAGCACACACCCCTGACCCAGAACACAAATAAACTATAAACATCAGCAATATGATGGCAGTTGTTGAAACATATGGAATTGAACACAACTGGGTCATAAACATGGTGACTGACTTGGTCAATTACTATACATGTTTCCTTAATATTTCAACTGTCATTACATCACATCACATAAACCAAAATAATAATATCAAATTATCTTTCATTGGGAAGGTGGGAAAGTGGACATTTTAATGTAGTATGACAATCTTTAAGTCCATTAATTCTATGTTTATTATTGTATTATTACATTTTCCAACTTAGCCTGTTGGGTTCGGGCTGTCGTCGTCGTCGTCGTCGTCGGCTAAAGTTTCTGATTGATTGTTTGAGATTGAGTTTGATTTTTGAAGGGAAGATATGAAGTGGGTATGTCAAGAATTGGAGATGAAGAGCATTTGGCTACTGCTGTTGGCAGTTTGTCTGTGTCTGTCAATTGGAGTTCAGGCTCAAGTTACTGATCCTACTGAAGGTCAATCTTTCGTGTTTCATGTTGCTGTCATTTTTGTTTTTACATAATTTTGTCTATTTTTGTTCTGTTTTGTGTTTTTTTGTCCTTTTTTGTTTGTGTTGGAAGAAATAGATATCGATGAACCAGTGTCAGATAAAGCCAATAAAGGTCGTTTACAATAATTTATTGTGAGACCCGAGTGACTGTTTCTGTTAAGGGGCAAACTTGTTACTTTTTAAGGGGGTAATTTTTTTAATGATAAGTTAGCGCGAGACGATCTCACCCAAAATTGGCTTAATATTTACATAATGTTGTGTGGTTTAGTGACTAACACATAGTGGGAGACAAACAGCTTCCAATTTGATGGGGGCATTAGATCTTGAATTCAATAGATATAGTTCTATCTTCTATGTCAAATTGTTTAATGAAAGGCTAATGAACAAGTTGTTCTAGTGAGAAGTTATGGCTTGATTACTTTGGAAGAATGTGTTTGATCTTAGCCAATATTTTGGTGTTTGTGGTTGGAATTTTGAAAGAAAGGTACTAGGCTAGCTTAAATCAAGTAGATATCTCGTCTTTTGGCATGTTTGGGAGGAAGTTAAGTCGAAACAAGAGCTGTCTTAGTCTTACCCCTAACCAATATAGACTTGAATAGTGGTGTTTCTTCAAAGTCCTGTAAATTTGGGCATAGATTTCACGAAGTGCAATTTAGTGTTTCTTACTTAAAGTTGCAGTATTTTCCCTCATTATATGAGAGCTGCGCTGCTTATTGGCTCATTATACTCAACTCTTTCCACTCTCAGGAGACATGTAGCTTAAGGTGGTTTGATAACATGACAACAGGTTGTCTAAATTATGGTTTCCTCGTTGCTCACTAAGACACATATTCAACTTTCTTGAATCGCTTTATTCTCTACAGTTAGCGCTTTGAAAGAAATAAGAAGAAATTTGGTTGATCCAATGAAGAACTTAAGCAACTGGGACCGGGGAGATCCTTGCTCATCTAATTGGACAGGCATTATTTGCTACAACAAGACATTGAATGATGGTTATATGCATGTACAGGAACTGTAAGTCTTTTATCTAAGCTTATACAAATTACTTCTGTACAAGGCAATACCAATAACAAGAAGTTAAATTGGACGGGCATTAACATAAACATTGTTTCCAAAATCTAGAACATTCTGTCATATATCCTAGTTAAACGTCAATAACATCTCTTGAATTTCCTTACAGGGAACTCCTGAATATGAATTTATCAGGATCATTGTCACCAGAACTTGGAAACTTAACCTACTTGAAAATTTTGTGAGTCTCTGAGCCAAACTTCTTGATGCTCCAATTATCTTCTTTCCACAAGGATATTCAAATATCAAGGTCTTAGGCTAGTGTTATTTTGTTTAATAATCCGGCTCTATGTTTTGGTTTTTTGAAGGGACTTTATGTGGAACAAAATAAGTGGGAGCATACCAAAGGAGATAGGAAACATCAAAACATTGGAACTCTTGTAAGCTACTTTTTCTTTAAGAATGACTATATTCATTTTATATTTTCTCACTAAGTCGTACCACTTTGAAACTTATGCGGCTATATGTACCATTATTGCCTTAATTTAAACTTCTCTACTACTATGTACACTACTATAATGCCTTCTGTTGTAAATTCATCTATTCATAAACTTATGGGTGTTTTAGGCTCGTGAACGGAAACCAGCTGACAGGTCCCTTGCCAGAAGAGCTTGGATATCTTCCTAATCTAAACCGTATACAGATTGATCAAAATAAGATCTCAGGGGAGCTACCTAAATCATTTGCAAACTTGAATAAAACAAAGCACTTGTAAGTCCATTTTTGTTTCTGTGTATCTAAAGTATTTCCTTATGATATGCAAAATTAAAAAAAATAAAAAATTCACCGGATGCTCTAACAACACTTGCAGCCATATGAATAACAATTCTATTAGTGGTCAAATTCCTCATGAACTATCAAGACTGCCAGCACTTGTTCACTTGTAAGTTGATAAATCTCCCTGTTTATATTACAAGCAAAAATTCAATAGTTTATTTCATAATAGTTTCTCTGTGCATCAGAACGTTTCATTCTTTTTTTCCTTAGCTGACCAAATTATGTGGCAGTCTGCTAGACAATAACAACCTTTCAGGTCATCTTCCCCCTGAGTTCTCTGAACTGCCCAACTTGCTGATCATGTAAGTTTTGTTTACTGAATTTATTTAAATTTCTCCTTATTTCTTGTACTTGTACGTTTTTCTTATTATTAATTGTTTGCTAAGTTATGTTATGAATAAGCACCAAAGCAAAAGTAAGTTCTTGGGAAGAACAAAGTTAACAATTTACGAGCACAGTGAGTGCTTGTAAAAAAAAAAGAACGCTAACCTCAATCACATTGTACATCAATCAATGAAACCCTTGTAATATAGGTGCAGAGAAATGAAGAAATCAATTAATTAGCAAGATAGTGTATTTAGCAACAATATTTTGGGAAAATTTATCCCTTCTTTCAACTACACGTAGGAAGCACACACTGTGCTCTCTCAAGGCCTACATACTTTCTAAACATAGCAGATCAGACTACAAAATGATAATGATCAGACATGTTACTGATTTGATGAGTCCAAGTTCTTTGGCCAAAATGTGGATATCCTCCATCCATCTATGAATTTTTACTCTATAACTGTATGATTTTGCAAAAATAACATGGGTGATATAATTCTCTCTGTGTCATTCTGCTGCATGAGCAGAGCAGGAAAACTGCCACACCATGTGTGCTTTGCAGCTAGTGATCTCTATAGCCATAATCTCTTTCCTTTACAGGCCTTTTTTTTTTTTTTTTATTTATTTATTGTAATTTATTGTTATGATCAACTCTTGATACTTATCTTTTCCTTTCATTGCAGCCAACTTGACAACAATCACTTTGATGGGACTACTATTCCAGCAAGCTATAGCAACATGTCTAAATTGTTAAAAATGTAAGTTCATTTTCTTATTATCAGTAAATGAATAGCAAATACTAGTTCATTTACTGATAATAATCGACTGAAGGGTTTTCCAAGATAAAAAGTAGTGACTGCATGAAGCTTGAGGGTGTAAAAATTTATGGTTTTCAAAATTCACAATGTCCTTTTAATTTATACTACCTTCTTTGCTACTTTAAGGGTCTTATCAACCGGGAAGATGACTAATTCTAATATACTGTATTAAATAACGATAAAACAATTTGTGATTTTATCAGTCGTACTTTTCCCATGATTCCTCAAGTCACTTCTGAAGTTCTGATGTCCAGCCTTTAACGGAAGACCAATCTACTTTTAATCAGCATGTCGAGTTTCTTAATGTTGGCCTTTTCTTTTACTTTTCATCTTTGGTGTTGTTAGGAGTCTGAGGAACTGTGGATTACAAGGAGAAATTCCCGACCTGAGCAAAATACCACAACTAAGTTATATGTAAGCCACAAGTTCTGCTTACTCCATATTACTCCGTAATTGAAGCCAGCTTCTACAGACTTCAGTTACATCCTTAATCTTGCATAACATGTTATTGGCATTTATTTGCCTAGTCTGTTTTATAATAGTCAGTGTAGCACTAATGTCTCCGTTTCCTGTTTTCTGAGTTTCAGAGACCTCAGTTCAAATCAGTTGAGTGGCTCCATACCATCTAACAAGTTTTCAGATAATATGACCACTATGTAAGCTCCCTTGATGTGCAGAGACCCTATGGTTATATAGATTAGATGATTTCCCGCATGAAGGCAGTATAATCCTTATCAATACAATTTTATCATCAATTTTTAACATATGTTCATGGCTTTTGGCAGCATTTTGTCAAACAACAGTCTTACTGGAAATATACCTGTCAACTTTTCGAAACTGCCTTTTATTGAGAGACTGTAAGACCTGGTTCCTTCATGTTCTTAAATATGTCACTAATTAACTTGTGATTCAAGAAATTATATTCTGCTAAAGTTATTCATCAGAAGATATCTGTAATTACTCCTCTGTTGCAGGTCACTTGCAGATAATAAACTGAATGGTTCCGTCCCTGCTACTATTTGGGAAAATAGAACTTTAACAAATGGTCACAAGCTTATCTTGTAAGTCATAAACCCATTCCCCTACATCAGACATCTACCTTTATTACAATTATGGTACTTTTACATGCATTTAGTTTACATTCTTAACAATCCTGGCATGAAATTCTTTGACTAGTTCTCTTATCCTTTGATTATGATGACTGAATTCATTTACTCTTGCTTGATTTTAATTTTACGGTGTCTTGAACATTGCAGAGATTTTGAGAATAATATGCTGTCAAGCATTTCAGGGAGTACCAACATTCCGCCAAATGTTACACTTCAGTAAAATCTAAACTTCTAAACTATATATTCTAAGTCATAGCGATGAAACATATAAGAAGCTTGTTTTCATGATTCTAACTTTTCTGAATTATAACCTCAGCCTTGAAGGGAATCCTTTGTGCTCAAGGGCAAACTTGGACCGCTTTTGTGGTTCAAATCAAGATGGAATTGAAAGCGAAATCCCTAAAATTCCTGTTTCTTGTCCAAGTCAAGCATGTCCACCATCTTATGAGTATCCACCTGGTCATCCGGAGTCTTGTGTCTGTGCTGCACCTTTGATCATTGAATATCGTTTGAAAAGTCCTGGATTTTTACGTTTTGGACCATACCAGAATGGGTTTGAGGAATACCTATCATCTGGTCTCAGATTAAATCTTAATCAGCTAGACATTAATTCCATCATTTGGCAAGAAGGCCCTCGGCTGAAGATGTCCTTGAAGCTTTTTCCTGACAACAACTCTCATGTTTTCAATAGTAGTGAAGTTCGGCGTATATGGAGAATGTTTACTGGATGGCAGGTTCCAGATAATGATACTTTTGGTCCTTATGAATTGATTGACTTCACTCTACTGGATCCTTATAAGAAAGGCATGTCTAGATCTCTTAACTTTTTAATTTACTGAGCTTACTTTTTCCGGGTTGTCAAAGAATGAAAGTTGAGATATGAGCTATATTCATGGAGTGGCCTTTGTGATTTTAGCTGAATTACCCTTCCACAGGACTAAACTCTGTACACTTTGTTTGTTCGAGATAGTTACCTTAGTTGTTTCTTCCCTTCCCTAACTGCAATCCCCTTCAGAACTTTATCTTTTCACTTCTATCCTATCTTTTCTAAACCCATGAATAATTATGGTCTTAGGTAGATTATACCTGCTGGTAATGCTCCATAGAACGGAACTCACAGATCTTCTTACGGTGCAATTGACTGTGTTTCAGTATCAATTGCCTTTTTGGTATTTTCAGAATGTGAACTAAATATAAACTTGTTTCACTATATATGAGTCCTAAAGGAACTGATTTTTAGAAAATATCTTTTATCTTTTATCATACCAGCCAACCAACCTTATTGTTGGTAATAGTAATACTTGGTTTACCATGCATCAATATTTATGATATATGCTACTGCAGATTTTGGTATGCCTACATCAAAGTCTGGTGGAGTAAGCGGTGGAGCACTTGCTGGTATAATACTTGGGACATTAGCTTTTGCAGTTACCTTATCTGCAGCTGTATCACTTCTTATTTATAAAATATATTTAAGGAGGAGGCCCCATGGAGGTCCATACAGCCGTCGCCGAGGTAAGCAACTGTAAACAATTCTTGTACATGTAGATAATCTGTAATAAGTGGATCATGGGAGAGAAATAAGCAAGAGAAATTTTTTGAAAAGAAAATGAAAAGGTGAATGGGATGAGAGTTAGTAAGAATATGAACCATTGAATTTAACTTAAAAGAAAAAAAGTTAAGAAAAAAAGAAACTTTTTTTCTTTTTTCTTTTCTTTTCCTGCATAACATTGTATTTGCTTGTGTACATCAGCAGTGTCCAGAAACCCCATCAAAATGGATGGGGTTAAGGGATTCAGTTATGAGGAAATGGCAGTTGCTACCAACAACTTTTCTGAATCCCAGCAAGTGGGGCAAGGAGGCTATGGAAAGGTATATAAAGGAATTCTTGCTGATGGCTCGGTAGTGGCTATCAAACGTGCACAAGAAGGATCATTACAGGGTGACAAGGAATTTTTTACGGAAATAGAGTTGCTATCAAGGCTACATCATCGGAATCTTGTCTCTTTGGTTGGCTATTGTGATGAAGAAGGTGAACAGGTATCCAAATTGCCTTTAAGCTTAATTTTTCATAATATTTATGAAAAATTAATCTGCCAATGCTCTTCAGTTTATATACAATCAATTAGTACTGTAGTTATAAAATAAGTTGTGCTCAAGTTTTCTTTTCAGAAATTACTGATTGTCACTTGGACTTCTGTGCTAAAGGATTACTAAAATTGTTTTCTTTATCTTGTGATTGTTTATGCAGATGCTGATTTATGAATTTATGCCTAATGGAACTTTAAGGGAACATATATCGGGTATGAATGCCATACTAACTCTGATTCATATATCTTACTAAAGGTGTTAGTCATTATTCCATCTAAATTGATAATGAATGGAGAAATAAGCCGGTTGGAAGTCAAAGTCTGAATTGATCCATGGATTTAATCATTTCACAATGACATAACTGATAATTTCTTTCCTCACAGACTGTAATATATTATTTTATGTCTAAGAGCTTGATGATCAGCTTGTTGCTTGCAACAGCTAAGTGCCAACAACCTCTGAACTTCGCCTCAAGGTTGAGAGTTGCACTAGGTTCTGCCAAGGGGGTCCTTTACTTGCATACTGAAGCTGATCCTCCAATATTTCATCGAGATATAAAGGCCACCAACATATTACTGGACTCCAAATATATGGCAAAAGTTGCTGATTTTGGACTATCACGACTTGCACCAGTTCCTGATATTGAAGGACTTACCCCAACTCATGTATCTACAGTTGTTAAAGGGACACCGGTATGGTTTTTACTGCGTAAAATATGTGTGATATGTGAAGTTACCTACATAGTAGCATCTTTTCTTGACCTCTGAATGCTCCTTGCATTGTTGAGAATGTCTAGATTTACACAATATTTGCTATACTGCGGCAAATAATCATTAATGGCCTATTAAATAGAGGTAATGCCGTAATGGTAAAACATCTATGTAAGTTTGCAAAAAAATTCCGATGAAAATGTTCATGGTAATGCTTCTCCATATCTATCATGACTAACAATGTATATTCTTCATAAATATACTTTACTACTGGATACCCACTTATATGGGATTATGGGGTAGTCAGTGGTATTGAAAGATTTAACATTAAAAAAATTACACATGATTCTGGGATATGGTTCTATGCTTCTATCACGATGGACAATGACAAAAGTTTTCTTGCAAAATTTATTACGAGTTTTTGCCATTACCACTATTAATTACTGGCAATTAAACAGGTCGTAAAAGTATTCAATAGATACATAGTTTAGAAGATTCATATTCACTTAAGTATTGACAAAGACTTTCAGAGTGTTACCAATAGAAAGTATCCCACACCCACATATTTGTAAAGGAGAAAATTAAATAGGGAAATGAGTCATAGATCAACTTTGATATTAGCCACAAAAGTTAATTCTCATTTAGAATGTAACAATCTGATCACATTAGGTATGTTTCTACAATTATGTGAAATCAATTCCATTCTGTTTATTTGTGATTTTGTGAAATCAATTTCATTCTTTGTGGAATATTTTCATATCAGGTCTAATTTGCTAGGCAGCCAACCTGAAACTTCTGGTTGTACAGATTAGTTGATTCAGGATCATAAAATTATCTGTAAAGCCACATTTAGCCAAGAGATGCACCAAGTTGAAGGTTCTTTTGTTGCTTTCAACGGTTAATTGAGAAAAATATAAAAGGTAGCTACAAAGCCTACAATGTTTGATACAAACATACCTTTTTCATGCAGAGTTGTATGATTTAGTAGACTGAAATATCTCCAATTAGGTCGCTAACTTGCTATACCTACGGTGTTGGTACTCCAGTGTAAGAACTCTAAGAAGTGTATTTTTCAGGTTTTCAAAGGCTGTAAAACCTTTAGTAGGGACTCATATAATATGTTTTTCTGGTGCACTCATAGTATGCTGCTAACTTTATTCACCTTTTGGTTTGAAAACTTCTGCAAAGAAATGGATTGCAAATGATATACTAATCACCTTTTATGTCATTTGCAGGGATACCTTGACCCCGAGTACTTCTTAACCCACAAGCTGACTGATAAAAGTGATGTTTACAGTCTTGGAGTTGTTTTTCTAGAACTTCTGACAGCGATGCATCCAATTTCACATGGAAAAAATATCGTTCGAGAGGTATTCCTTTGTACCCTTCATTGTGCTTTAAATTGTCATACTATACAAATTTTATAAGCATAGTGTATACATCCTCTACTGTTGTCATGAATATATTGGTGCAAAAGCACAGCTTGATGCTTTTGGACTTCAGCCTGTAATGCTGTCTTCAGGATAACTTGCTAGCCAGGAAACCAGCTGATATTTTGTTTACTGTATATTTGGTACTAGGTCAATACGGCATTTCAGGCTGGTACTATATTTTCTGTGATTGATGAGCGGATGGGATCTTACCCTTCTGAGTGTGTGGAGAAGTTTCTGAATCTGGCGCTTAGGTGCTGTCAAGACCAGACAGATGCTAGGCCTACGATGATGGAGGTTGTCCGAGAACTGGAAAATATATCAAGTTTGATGCCAGAATTTGAATCTTCAAGTATGCCTTCAGGAAGCATTTCTTCACCAAGTTACTCATCCAATATGAGGCACCCATTCATCTCGTCTGATGTCTCTGGCAGTGATCTTATTAGCGGAGTTGTTCCTGACATCAATCCAAGATAAATCCTGATAAAGGTATACTTTTTAAGGCCTGTGTATAGAGGGATATTATTAAGCTCGTTCCGACCAGTTCCATGTCAAAATATAAGTTTTTATTTGCACTTTTTGCAGTTTAACTTCAAGTTTATTGAGTTGTAATATTTGTGGAACACAAAACTCTTTAATCTTGTGCAGGTATATATATGTGTATGTTTAAATTTCATTTTGTTGGCGGATCTTGAGCTATCTCTCACTCTCGCTAAAAAATATTATTAACTGACTTAAATATAAATAAGTAAAATTACATTCATTGACATGAATTATGACCCAACAATAACCATTGATATGAACTTATCTTTATAATTTAATCGATCTTGGTGAACCTTGGAGAGATATTTAGAAAGAATTTTATCGTCCTCTGTAAAGAATTCTCACCTTCAAATCCTAGGGCTCAACCTTGGATAGGCAGGTTCACCAACTTCCTTGATCTTCCGGCACTGGGGTGGTTAATTAACAATTCAAAGTGCTTTTCTTGCACAATTCTCGATGGAAACGGAATTTTGCAAATTCTCATTGGTTGTTTCCATCAGTGGATGGGTGAGTAGCAAAGGATGAAGGATCCCATAAAAACTTCATTTGAGGAATGGGCTAAAGTAAGTGGTGGTCTACCTCCTTCCCCTACTGACATAAACAATCTACTAAGAAGTAAAGACACTCAACCACATGCAGGCTATGTCACCAAAACCATTATGGTGTTTTTTTTCTTTATTTATTAAATTCATTTGTTCATGCCAATGAGTGTAGAGCATCCACAATGGCGGGAAAATAGGTTTCCCATTTGAAAAAAAATGAAAGTGGGAAACTTTCCCAAATGTAGCTGCTTTCTCATTCACTTATCTTCGTTGGGGAGGTTAATATGAATGGAACCCTCCCAATAGTAAAGTAGTCCCATTGAGCACCGAAAATTGCCGCCACCCACTAACCCACATGCAGCCTTTAACCTTTTTTTTTAAAAAAAAAAAAATTAAAAAACTAAAACATGCAAGCATTTTAACGGCATATTTGCAACGATAATATTTGTTTTTTTAATCACTCAACACTAATATTATCGTTTTTCTTGAATAACTTTTTTAGTTTAGTAAAAAAAAATTTGAAAAAATACCTTGGATCATATTTTTTTTTATCCTTCATAAATAGAGACTAATCTTGATATATTTTCAACACTTCTAAAAATACATAATTTGGCATAATAATAGGGCAGCATATCTTTTTATAAAAAAAATATAATATTTGCAACTGGCTAAGGACTATGCCAGTTGCAAATAGTCATTTCTTTAAATAAAAAAAAATGCAATTATAGTTAATTGATATACAAACCATATTGTCATAAAAAAAAAACACAAATCATATTATATACTATTGTAACAAAATCCATATTAATTGTGCAGTATATATTAATTACACAAAAAAAAAAAAAAAAAAAAATACAAGGCTTCTTAAGAAATACAGCAGCAAAAGCGTCCAAGAATGACATTATGCGCAGCAAAGGGCAGCAACACGAACGACTCAAATCGACTAAATTAGCCATGAATTTTCCTCTAGAAATACTACAATAAACAACAATAGATTAGAGATACATCTAAAGATAGTTAAAAATCAACAAAAAAACGCAATCATAAATTTAGAATGGAGTGGATTTCAACTTAGTTGTCAATATTTATGAGCAGCGCCAACGACTAAAATCGATTCCTCCTAATCATAAAACAACAATAAACAACTGATTATAAATTCACCTAATCATAAATAAAAAAAAATAAAAAAATAAAAAAAAAAAGACAAAATTGGAGGAGGAAAAAGCTGGTTTAAGGTTTGGGTTGATAACAAGAGATATAATATACACACTTATTTTACTATGTAATCCAACAACAATACATACATCAACAACACAAACAATACTAAAGTTATCAATTCAAAGGTTCTTAAGATTAAATACGCCAGCAGTGGATTTCAAAGAAAAAAATATAATGAACGGATGCAGCAATCAGATTTCGAATCAAATTAATCATCTTATGTAAATCCTACCTCATTCTTAAAATATACCATATCTGATCAGCACAAAGCATTATATTAATATCATATTTGATAAAAATGATGAACAAAACATGAATTAATAAGTATAATGTGAAACCATAAAATATAATTGATGAATTACAAAACACATAATAACAAAGGTGATTCCAAGTATTTTCAGTTTCACTAACAAGTTAATATGCCAATAGAGCAACCGAGGAACAGACCATGCATTTACCAGCTTTTATGCAATCCCAATCAGGACTCAGGAGCATATGATGCGAAATCCTTAAACTTTCGTTCGGTCTTGACTTGACTCTTGACAATGTCAATCTGGCAAGTTAAGGTAAATCCATCTACATAGCACAACTCAGAGACACAAAAACGCAACAAACCAAACTCTAGCTTCATAAAATAAATTGCAACTCACAAACAACACACTTGAATCAAAACAAGAGAAATGCAGCAGAAAAAAAAACAACTGATATGCAGTAGAGCCACCAAAATTAGGTCAGCAAGAAATCAGTAATGGTAGTGTGAAACTCATCTAAGTAAAACCAAATACATTCTCCATAGTTGACATCAATGATGCACGGCAAAGTGTAGCCGTTTCCCGTACCGAGGACGTATCGGGGACGGGTACGGCCCAGATACGTCCCCATGGCGTACCCCCGAAAGGTGGTGCGGGAGGCTATTTTGGGGACAGCTGGGAGCAGCTCCGGAAACGTTTCGGGGATGAATTCTCTTCTATTCTGACGTCCCCAATACAAACCCAGTCCAATTTTTTTTTAAAAAAACCCCATATTTACTTAGATCAGGTTGATTTCTCAAAAACCCTAGAAACTGAGAAGCCGATTCCTTGAAGATTTGGAGGCGACCACCTGCTGCAACCCACGATTCTTTGCCAGCAACAATTTGCGACCCACCCCGACACCGGCGACCGGCGAAACTTCTTTTACTCTACCTTCTACCTCTATTTCTACAGTTCTACTTCTCATATACTCTCTCTTCGACTTAAGCAGTAATTTTTTTTTTTTTTTCCTTTTAAATTTCAAAATATCTCAAAAGTAACTCAATAGCTTAAAAATTAAAATAAAAAGAGTAATCAAAGATACATTTTTTAAAAGAATCCTTGCACTATATAAATTCATAAAGGTCTAGGTTAAATTCCCACTTAAGTTATCTGTATAACACAATAGGAAAAGTAATTTGGAAAGAAAATAAAAATATTTCTATTGTATATATATAATAAAATCGAAGAAAGTGATAAATGAGCATAGAAACCGAGTTATCTATTTTAATATCGCTCTAAAAGTGAATAGTAATCAACTAAGAGAGAAGTATATGAGTTGAGGGTAAAGTAAAGGTTTTCACATTAAAAGTTAATTAATCAGTGTAAAAAGTAAATAATTTTATAAGATGAGTCAAGTTATAATAAGAAAGAAGCCAAGAGTTTATGCATAATACTCTTTTACATATATGCATAATGAAATAAGCCAAGAGTATATGCATAATGAAATCACTAAAAGTGATATATAAACATAGAAACTAAGTCATTGACTTTTACATCATGAATACGAGATTAAAGTAAGGATTTTTAAAGAACAAGTAAATAAAATAACTTAAAAAGTAAATAAAAGTTTTTAGGTAGAAAACCAATTGAATAAAAATAGTCTCATCTAATAAATAAACCTACGTGGGATTCGAACCCACATCTTTTGTACATTTGCACAATGCTCTATCTGAGCTAGTAGACTAGTGTACATCAAAACATTCAAAGTAAGGAAAAATTAATTTAAAGTAAATAAAAAAATCTCAAAAGTAAATAATAAAATCTAAAATGTAAACAAAAGAATCTACAAAGTATATCAACAAGTGCGATGATGATCAGAAACTTCATAAGCAACATAACAAATTGATAATGATAAACATACATCCTATGGAAAAACAAGGTTGTTTATTTTTAATTTTTATGAGCTTATCAGCAAATGCATCTACTGGTAGGCTGGCTGCACCAGAAACAGAATACAGAAAAGGGATCTCTATCCTTAAGAATATAATTTTTTTAGTTGAATACTAGCATTGTGTTGAGTAAATTATACAATCCTATTAAATAATTTGGTCTTTCTTCATACTCAGTTCTGAATGAGAGGACATAGTTCAAGTATCTACCTCTTGAGCCTAAGAATTTTTCCCTCCACTTTTCTGATTTCTCCCTACACTTCTTTTGAGCCTCCAAGTATCAAATAAAACAGAAGATTTCATACTAAACAAAGAATACATGTATTAAGAAACCAAGTTCCAAACTCATACCACCTTAGTTTTATTCCTAATTTTTAACCCAGTTAGGAACCCAAATTTGGTTCCCAGAAGCTTCCATCCCAAGAGAATGTAATGTACATTGTTTGAGTTACGCCAATCACACTTACACCCCTCCCAAATCAAAGAAAAAGTGAAAGAGTCAAATATCCACTAAAGAACCAAACTAATATTTATTCAACATAATCCCAGTTAAAAGTCAGTAGTAGTGCTACATGTAATTGAAACTCCCTAGACCTTGTCTCAAACTCTCAATAGGAATTATACTTCAGTGGTTGCTGTTGTACCCATTTAAAGTTGATCAGTTCTTGTTTATAGACTGATGGTCTACAATTAACTGCAGTAGTGTGGTTTGGAAAGAAAGAAATAGTCTTGTAGTGGATCAAAATATATATATCTCTAAAGTAAATCCCAATATCTCTAATGTAAATCAAAATAGCTCGAAAAAGAAATCAAAAGTAGAGCAAATTATGTCAAAAAAGTAAATCATAATTACTCTAAAGTAAATAAATAAGTAAATCAAAAGCTGGTGCTGCCCTACTGCTGGTGCGGTGAAGGTTAACACAGATGCACATATTGGTGCTGACGGTTTTGTGGGGTTGGGCATTGCTATCAGGAACGAAAATGGTGGGTTAGTAGCGGCTGCAGTGTAGAAGGTGGGCGCAAGGTGGGATGTGGAGCTTGCTGAAGTAGCAGCAGCAAGGCTGGGTGTTCTGATTGCACGCCAAATGGGGCTGTCAAGGGTTGAATTGGAGAGTGCTGCATACAATGTAGTGCACAATATTGAGCAAGAGGCTTCTGGATACTCCCCTTTATTCCTACTATATGAAGACATCAAGAGATTGAAGCAAGTTTTCTCTTCTTTTAAATGTAGCTTTGTTCGTCGGGCGGGTAATACATTAGCACATCTTGTAGCTAGATACAATGCTAGTGAGTCGTGGTTTGTATGGTTTGACAATTTCCCCCAAAGCTTCTTAACTTTGGTGTATCTCGATTTGATTGAATAATATTGCTCGCCTAACGTTCCCTCAAAAATATCAACTCAAAAGTAAATCAAATATCATTAAAGTGAATAAATAATATAGTCTTTAAAGTAAATAAGAATTACTCAAAAGTAGCTAGAAAGACTTAAAAGTAAATATAAACATAATATTTACAATCAAATGGTTTAAAGCATTCAAAGAACCTACGTTGGATTCGAACCCACATCTTTTGTGCACTTGCACAATACTCTACCTATTGAGCTAGTAGGCTATTATAGAGTAAGAATAATTAGTTAACACAATCAAGTGTTTTTAGTTTCTTTATAAAGGAAATAATAAAAGTAAATATAATATACTCAAAAGTAAATAAGAAAAGCTTAATCACAAAAATCACATCTCCTTCCAACCATATTCACTATACACCCAATTTACGAGCCATAAGGAGCCTAAACATTGCTACTGCTGCATTTTCACCTCTAACCTTCCTGCCATGCATCATAAAGCAGTCCACACAATCTTCCCATCTTGTTATGAGCCACGACACCCAGCCCGCATAATCACTACCTATTTGCACTGGTATTGTTTATTTTATTGACACTACGACTGTTGTTTCAGCTCCCCCAAAAGAACAGAGTGGTGGAGTTTGGAAGCTTGCAGACCAGTGGATGTCAACAATAGTCCACACTGTCATCTACTGTTGCCTCATCACCATCATCCTCATCACACACAAGCAATATGGTCAAACCCTCAAAAGAAATCAAGGCCATTCATGTGCTCACACTACACACAACACACCCAACACAACTCGCCCATATAGTCACACAACTACACACACCTCAACTAGAGTGCCCAGCAACACACTCACACACACACACAAACACAAAACACACAAAAATACAACCAATTACCAACAAAAACAGCTAAATGCACGACATTGAAGGAATCATTTCAGATAGAACGATATTTACAACAATTTCAAACGAAAACCTAGTTACAGAAAACCAACAATTAAATTCTCCAACATGGACAACATATCGTGAGAAAAATCGACAAAAGTCACAATTAAAATTCAACAAAAATTAGCAAAATCGCAAAAATGAAACAATAAAATAGCGAACACTCAAATTTTAGACTTGAAATCATAAAGTGTCAATAATTATGACCTGATTAGAACCCGAATACTCCAAATATTCAAATAAATTTCAAAAAAATATTGTCATAATCAACAAGTGATCAATCAAATGCAATACTACTTCGGTCGAAACACTAATTCAATCAAATAGAAATAATAATTCAATCAAATATAAATTAAAATACTAATCGAAACCCTAAGAATTCGACAATAAATAATAATTCACTTACCTCAAAAGTAAATGATGAAATTAGGACTGAAATTTCGAGATCAGCAAGGTGCAAGTATTAGATGCTGAAGACAAATCGACGACGAAAGTGAAAGTGCGAAATTGAAATCGTTAAAGAGAAGAGAGAGAAAGTTAGAGTAAGAGAGAGAAAGAGAAATGAAAGTAGTTGAAACAAATCAGAAAACATTCAAAACGCAAATTACAAAAATGCCCTTAATGAGGTGGGCGAAATTTCATCCGTCTGGTCAAACAAAATCAACGGATCATATGAGTTCCCAGTTCCTATTATAGACCAAGGTTCTCACCTGATCTTGATTTTATATACTTTTTCCGTTTTTTTTTATTGCATCATAGGGGTTTTGGAGGCAAAATTTGGTAGTGGGAAAAAGTAAGAGAGAGAAACGTAAAAATACAAAATTGTCCATGTAATGTAAGATAAAATAAAAAGTAAGTGTGAAAAAGTAAGGGTATGTTGGGTATTTGCAGTGTGAACATAGATATTTTTTATCCTAAAAAGGAAATGATGCAATAATAAGTAAACTTCCTAAAGTAGTAAGTGATGCGATAAAAAAAGAACGGAGGAAGTATGTATATAGGGAGTGGATCATGTGAAAACAATTGTAAAGCTGAAAACTAAAAACATACAATTTCCACCGTCTATAAAAACCAATGGCTGAGATTAGATGCATGCCAATTCTTTTCTCTCTCCTTTCTCTTCTCTTTCCTACCTTCTCTCTCTTAATTTCTCGAATCTTCTTCCAAAATTCATGTTAACTTTAGAAATCCAGCTGCAATTTTTTCGGTTCTTCATCAATTTCTCAATCAACAATCTATTATGCGAGTTAGTCATTTTCGTCGCTGAATATTCATCCCATTGAAGCGAGTTTTGAGCTTTCTCCTCCATTGAAGCGAGTTTGAGCTTTCTCGATCCTCCATTGAAGCGACTTAGAGCTTTCTTCTCCATTGAAGCGGCTTCTCATGTAGTATTTCTTAAATTATCGACTATCAATTTCACAATCTAGGAATTTTTGCTAGTTAATTGCTCGAATGTTTTTGTTATGATATATAAATTGTTGTTTGGATTCGAAATTTGTTGTATAGCATGCGAATTTTGTCGAGTCAAGCATTCAATTTTGCCGTTAATATTTTAGATTCATTCGGCTAAGGAGGATCGTTTGTAGCATTCCATAATTTTGTTCTGAATTTTGCTTAGTTGTTGTCGAATTTAAGTCACCAGTAATTTGATCATAATGACTCACTGTTTTTATCGAATGATTACAATTTTCTACTGTTATATAATTAAATTCCAGTGTGTTAAATTAGTTATATGTTTATTAGATAATTTGAATTGCAGAGTGTTGAAAAATGGTGAAGAAGCAAGTTTGCAATTCAGATTTTTAATTTTCGATTTTATTTGGCAATTTTATCAAATTTTTTTTTTTTCTGCAATTTTGTTCGATTTCTTATGCGATATTGCGTGTTTTGTTCATCAATTTTGTTTGATTTTGCGATTTCCTGTTCGATTTTGTTCAATTTTGTTTGATTTTCCTGTTATAACAATGAGATGTTTTTAGCTGCTAATAGTATAGGCAATCTAATGAAATGTCACTCTTGTAAAGGTAGTCATAGGCTATTTTGGAAGCATACCCTTGTAAGCCAAACTATTATGTTATCAAATTAGAATCTTTCTGCATTTGATACGTTTCTAAAAAAAAGGAAATATTGTTCTGCAAGTTTCTTTTCCTTTTTAGTAGAATGGTTTCCTCGAACTTGCTTTGAAGAAGCTATTCACTTGTTTCTAGCGAAGAGTCGGCAACTTTCTCAAATGTTTTGAATTGAAATGTAAACCCAACTTGAGAGTGTAGTGTAGTTCTGGCTTTCAATTTCATAGTGATAATAGTTTAAGCTGTACTGCTTTAAGTGCTTATCTTAGTTTCTAGCTTGCACTTCATACATTTGCTGACCATTGAAACTATATCAGTATATTGACAACTAAAGCTAGACCTTACAGTGATCTTTATCTTCCTTCTTTGTGATGATGGTTTAGGCCATAATGCTTTAAGTGACTATCTTAGTCTTTAGCTTTCACTGTATACGATTGTTGATCGTAGCATTTGAAACTGTAGCAGCACAAATTCATACTGATGCCTTGATTGGAATTTTTTTGTTTTTAATACTTATTTTTTCTATTGTTGGAGTAATATTGAAAAATCTGATTTTAAATCACCACGTACCTCCTTTGTACTGTGGGTTCCGTATACCTCAAATCGAATGAGGCTTCTTGTAAAGATCTTCTGAAAGACCTTGTTGAGATGTGTCGTTTTGTTCAACATCCTATTCGTGGTCTTTTCTTGAGGAGCTATCTTTGTAAAGTCACAAGAGACAAGCTTTCTAATATTGGTTTAGAGAATGAAGGGTGTGTGTATTCCCTTTTTTTCTCTTGGTTTGGATACGATGATATGTTTGCAGCAAGGTATGGAATCCAAGTGGCTCGTAGATTGGGTGTTGCTTGTCTATGGTTGGAGGTTACCATCAAAATTAATATAGTTATCTTATCTTTGTATATAGTAACCTTTATGTAAATGTGGTCATAATTAATATAGTTATCTTATCTTTGTATATAGTGACCTTTATGTAAATGTAGTCAAAATTGATATAGTTACCCTACTTTTGTATATAGTGACTTATATGAGAATATGATCAAAATTGATATAGTTACCCTATTTTTGTATATAATTACGTTATTTTTATATATAGTGACTCTACGTTATTTTTTATTTTCTTTAAACCGTTAGATCTTGTTAGTAATTATGGATGGTTGAGATTTTCTGTTTTTAGTTTTCACCATAAGCCCTGTTTTCTGCGGAACCTCCCCGTACATATATACACACACACACACACACACACATATATATATATACTATATATATGTGTGTGTGTGTGTGTGTATATATATATATATATATATATATATATATATATATATATATGTGTGTGTGTGTGTGTGTGTGTGTGTGTGTATGTATATGTGTGTATATATATAAACATATATACATATGTGTGTGTGTGTGTATTATTCATTGGTGGGTATCACTAGTACAGAAATGCTAATTTGTGTCGGACATGTAAAAAAAGTCAACGCAAATAAGGTATTTTACGTCGGGTTTTTATTAGGTCTGATGCAAATGAGGGGACGCAAGTGAAGTAGGCTATTTGCGTCGGGTCAATTGCGTCGACCTTTTAAGAAAACGATGCAAAAGGGTCAATTACCTCAGTTTTATCAAAAGGCCGACGCATTTGGGGGAAGTATTTGCGTCGGTTTTTTTTTTAAAAGGCCAACGCAATTAGCATTCGCAAAAATCTGGGTGAAGAATTTGCGTCGGTTTTTTTAAAAGGCCGACGCAATTAGCATTCCCAAAAATCAGGGTGAAGAATTTACGTCGGTTTTTTTAAAAGGCTGACGCAATTGGTGAAGTATTTGCATTGGTTTTTTTAAAAGGCCGACGCAATTGGCTAAAAAAAAAATTAAGCTCAGCAGATTTATTATCTTATCCTTCAGCATTTTCCTATTCACACTTAGGTTTTCAAACACTCTGTCATTTTCACCTCCATAACCACAGAAAATCCGAAACAAAAGAGCAACAATTTTTTAATTTATTCGAAAACAAAAACCAAGAATTTCATGGGAATAAACCAAAATTCAAGCATTATATTTAAACCCAGAAAATTCGAAGACAAAACCCAAAAATTTTGAAGTGCGAAAATCCAGATTTTTCGAGCACAGATTTAAGTTTGAAGTGCGAAGACCCATATTTTCAAAGCAACACGAACTAATTCACGACCCATATTTTCGAAAACGCGAAAGTAACTACCGAAAACCCAAATTTTTGAAAATACAGATCCATAAAAAACCCAGATTTTCTAAGCAACGAAAACGATAATTTCGACCACATTGTGAGCAAACTGATTTTCAAGCATTTTCGAGTGATTTTCAGCAAATTTTCGAGCATTTTCGAGCAATTTTTCAAGGTAAATTTCTCAATTTCAGCAATATAATTTCCAGAATTTTTAAGTAAATTAAAACCCATTATTTTCGTGCAAATTTTCAAGCACATTGCAACAATTTTTTGCTTAAAATCTTAACAATTTTCATCCATAAAAATCCAGTAGTAGTAGTAGTAAGTAGCAGTAGTAGTAGTATTAGTTTGTTGTTGTGGTGGTGGTGGTGGTTTGTTGTTGTTGGTTGTTAGTGTCGTTGTTGTTATGGGTGTGGATTGTTTTTTTTTTTTTTTCAATATGAACAAAGGAGGGGGGTAGTAGTAGTGGTTTGTTGTTGTGGTGGTGGTGGTGGTTTGTTGTTGTTGGTTGTTGGTGTCGTTGTTGTTATGGGTGTGGATTGTTTTTTTTTTTTCAATATGAACAAAGGAGGGAGGCAATGTGAGTTTTAGGGGAGATGATGGAGTGGGTTGTTGTTGTTGTTAGTGTTGTTAGTTGTTGTTGTTAATTAGTTATAGTAGTAGTGTTGTTGTTGTTGTTAATTAGTTGTAGTAGTACTACTACTAGTTATTGTTGTTAATTAGTTGTAGTAGTAATACTACTAGTTATTGTTGTTGTTATTTAGGGTTAGTGTTGTTGTTGTTGTTGTTTAGGGTTAGTGTTGTTGTTAGTACTAGTTGTAGTTTTTGTAGTACAAGTTGTAGTACTAGTTGTTAGTACTAGTTGTAATTTTTGTAGTACAAGTTGTAGTACAAGTTGTTAGTTAGTTTTTGTAGTACAAGTTGTAGTACTAGTTGTAATTTTTGTAGTACAAGTTGTACTACAAGTTGTAATTTTTGTAGTACTAGTTGTTAGTAATAGATAGTTGTAGTTTTTGTAGTACAAGTTGTTAGTACTAGTTAGTTGTAGTTTTTGTAGTACAAGTTGTTAGTACTAGTTGTAGTTTTTATAGTACTAGTTGTATTAAGAGTTTAAGAGTGGTGATAGTGCTTATAATGATGGTAGCGTTGTTGAAAGTGAGAACGCCGTGGATGAAATTGAGACGTTGGAGGAGGAGAAGGTGTGGTACGAGGATTAAATTGAGGAGACCAAAGGATCACATAAGAGAAGTGGATGCGGTTTGAGGATCATCTCAAAGAGTCTGATGGCTTAGATGAAAAGAATGCTTGTTTGAATGCAAAGA